CAATTATCGTATATGTTATTGTTTAATGAACATTTTAGCACTATTATCAAGCCACTCAATTTGCAACTGCAAATTTCGTATTGCCCTATTTTGGTTTGGGACAAATGTATGTGCATCGAGAAGAGTTGGATAACGTGAGTTGATTTGGTTTTAATTTGATGAGGATGATGTGACATGATACGGTTAACTCACCTGTTGAATATCAAAGAGAATGTCGGTCACTTTGTAGCTTCGTTCAGCTTTATATATGACAAATAAAAACAATGATCTAATTTTTTTCACCGAATCGCATCTTACTATCAAAACATTCGAGGGTTGAGATTATGTTGAGTGATTTACTGTTTATTCTTTTTGCAGGCGATAATCTGCTTCGAGAAAGTATTGAAGTTACATCCGTCGAATTACGATACGCTCAAAGTATTAGGTTCATTATATGCACATTCTGAACCGATTGAACAAAAAGAGAAACTAGAAAGACGACAGAAGGCAAAAGAATTATTGAAGAAAGTGGTGGAGATGTGTGCTGACGATGTTGAAGCATTAATTGAACTCGCCCAACTAACTGAATCTTCTGATCCGCAGGTGCATCTAATACAATTCTTATTTTTTTTTCATTCGCTCTCTATCGATCATATCGTGCGTCCTACAAATTTACAGTGCTCCTTTCATGAGTTCTAGTTTCTTATCTTTAGCTAACCCTCAANATGCACTTCCTATTTTATCGTATTTGGTACGATAAAATATCGAGAATACTAATGAACCAATACTTCGTGAAATTATTTTAAAGAAAGATTTCAAATGTTGCGATATTATTAATTAGAGGTTGATCTGATTATTGAAAAATAATCTGCATATCGCTGAACAATATTATCTTTTTTTAAGCTTTCAAGCGATGCCAATAACGTCAACTTTCTTTTAGGCTTCATTGGATGCGTACACGAAAGCAGCGGATTTCTTGCAGAATACACTCCAAGTTGATGTACCTCCCGAAATTACAAATAATATTGGTTCATTAGCATTCTCGATGGGACAGTATCAACGAGCAAAAGTATTTATTTATTCATTTTTGATTGATACTTTCATTGAAATGTTATTTCCATCAATAGAAATCCCTATATATAGATGATAAGGTTGCTGTTGAATGAGTATTGATATAAAATCTACTGATTGGAGATTTGCGGTCAGGATTAGGGTGGTTCTAATGATCGCGATAGTCTTTGATTTTGATATTCGTGATATAAATGGTGTTATTGATCGTTAAAGGAATCATTCGAAAAAGCGTCGCAGAAGATCTCAGATGATATAAGTGCGGGACACAATGAATTGAGTGGATTACAAACGACAGTAACGTATAATTTAGCTCGATGTTTAGAAATGCTGTGTTTATTCGATGATGCTGAAAGGCTTTATAAAAGCATTCTTCATGAAAAGCCGAGTTACATTGATTGTTAGTTTTTGTTTGATAATCACTTCTTCATCAAGATTGTTATGTGTAAGGTGTAAGTGAATTTAATGCAAACTTGCAGGTTATATGCGGTTGGGTTGTCTTGCGCGTGATAAGGGTCAAATATACGAATCATCTGTTTGGTTTAAGGTTTATTTGGGTTTTATTGTTTGTTATTATAGATTTTTTATGGACTTTATTGATTATTTATTGCTTGTTGAGTATCGTAGTTGATGTGGGTTTGTGTGGTAAGCTCATAATCAGTATTGAAATTGAATCATGTGACGAGAAATGGTCGAAGTGATGAATGATAGAGCAGATAAACTCGAACTATACCGTTGTTGATTCAGGAAGCGATGAGCGTGAATCAGACGCATGCGGATGCATGGACATTAATCGGTAATTT